GGACTTTTCTTACTATCTCTCAAAACATTCAATGTTTCAGGTATCATAAGTACCAATATAGAAGTAACTTAATGACTCCAAGGCAAAATGAAACAAACATTAGTAGAAAGATATATTGAGATTGCTCGTGACTTATTTAAGCATCAACCAAAAAGCTAACACTCAAAGTAGTGTCTGCCTCTGTATCCATTGTGACAACTTTGCTAAGGACATGGAGCCTGTAGTCCATTAGAAGTGCCAAAATCTCTGAAGCAGCTAAATTGGTACAAGGTTCCTAATCCCACAGGGGTAATATAGCAGCATATGTTGACTTGAATGTTGATACTGCGTTTGGCAATACGTGGCTAATATCTCAGGCTTCAGGAAAGTAGCATCAGGATTACTTATCCCGCTTATCTTGTAAAGATGCTCAGCTGCAGCATCAACAAATCACATGCCTGTGATACCACATCTTTGCACTAATTTCTATCCTAACACATACAGGTGTCCAGAGTTGCTATGAAAACTTTGCTCTATCTTTCTGCTTCAGTATAATCAAGAATGTGCATTATGTTGATCATCTGCAAGCAATACAAAGCTTGGTCTGCTTGCAAATCAAATTAGTAATGTTAATAGAATTTCCTTCAATTAACAATGCTTACATTGTTTAAGTCACCTTAACGTTTGAAAGACGCGAAAGAACAGGTGTCAATCTTAATACCACAACTTTTCTTCCCATGTGCTATTCTTAGCGTAGTGCATCAGTTATATAGGTTCATATCCATTTTGCACTTACTCAAGCCATCTCCCAAGTTCAAAGTAATGGCCCGAATCATCATGGGAGAGGAAAAGAAACACGTTATACCAAACTTCAAATAATAATGGGAGAAAGACAAGATGCCTAGACTTACAATCAAAATGTCATCCATGTACCCAACAGTGAAGCCCCAAGCACTAATAATATTACTATTAGTCTTAATTTGTGGGATTTTCCAGCTCTCTTCAGCCTCTGGTGCCTCACCAACACATACCAATGACTTCGAAACAGGTGCACCTGCTCTAACTGAAACTAATTCCATTAGCCAAAAGTGGCTGCATAGCTTTTTTTAAACTGGATTAAATAATATTTCTTGCAAATCGCAATCTTAAACAGTTTTAATCTTTCAGCCAAAGAGTAAAAAATTGCAGATATGAAAATAATGTGAACCTTGGGAAATCTGCCCAAGAGGCAGACACTATCTGATCAAAACTTCCCAGAATCTCGGGAAAGTGAAGTGATGATCTTTCTGCTGCCTTACAATATGACTGTTACACACAATCAAACCTTAACTAATTTTGCAGCAACTTCTATTCAGATCCTACAGCTGCATTGGTTTCCACAGAAATACCTGCTGGCAGTCAAGACGCGAGAACAAACCTATCACCGTTAGACTTTCGAATTTTAAATCTTACAGTCTTTGTCCACAAATTAGAAACAGTTCAGACAGAGTCTAAATACCCTACAAGTAATTTGACAAAAAAATTTAACCTACAAATGCCACAGTCTTAGCTCATTAAAGAACGGAGGACAAATTAAAAACAAATTATTATTTGTGAAGCAACAAATCTAACAGTTTGAGAAAGAAATAACTGATTTTACTGTGCAGAGTACGAGGGGAGAATAAGAGAAAGAATAACTTATTAAACAAAGTATTTTCCACACAAGTACATCTACGGTAAGATTAGTTAGAAAACTCAGAGCAATTCTTGATACTCTTAAGTTTGTCTTTTGATTAAGGAACAACGTGGAACATGCTTAGCAACAATGACCTATTTAAAGCATGATTTAAACAAGTGGCATCTGGAAAGTTGACATTTTTATAAGATATTCCAAATGTTGTAAAAACCCAGCTGATTCTTACAATAATGTCTAGGAAAAAAATCTCCTATTCTTATCCAGTCTGCCCTATATATGACTCCAGAGACATGCACGTGGTAGGCTCAACTGCCCTCTGAAACACTGCAGCAAACCAATCAAATATCAAACTATTATGCTAACATCCAAGTCAAAACCAGATAGATGATCTGCTATCTCCTCAAACATCAATTATGAAGAAGGCACAATGAGTTCAGTCAACCCTTTCTATCCATCCAAGGACTTAAGCAAACACTGAGAAGCTCCGTAAGCAGCAGCCTGAGAAAGTCATTCTCTCAGAACCATATTTTTAGCCAATATCGCAGGCGATTCTAACACCACTCTTGGTTAAATCCGGCCTCATCAGGACAGACCTGCTATATATGGCACCATAGCGATATAGAGTAAAGTGGTAGAGGTCCTGGGGATTCCCAAATTGGCCCCAGACCCCATAAACTGGCATGGCACCAATGTCAATCATAAGCACAAAATCTGCCAACTGCTCATCCTCCCACAGCTGATGTATAAAAACCTGCCAATGTGGAACATCACTTGGAAAAAATATTAAAAGTGCACAACGGTACACAATGTACTCACAACTGGAGCTTCAATGTAACATCACTCAAGTTCTGAAGGACATATCTATCAGACTTAAGATAGTGAGAGGAATAATGCAACCAAAAGATCCATCACACACATCTGTCCAGAACAGTAATAGTTTAAGAGCCATCTCAACAGCCTTTGCAGCAAAGTCTCACCTTCACACCGAGGACATGATCCATTGTATTGTGTAAAATTACCACTATGTTAAATGGGATAGACTCAAAACAGATCTGGCAGCTTAAAAATGTGCAACCATAAAGTGCTAAGGGCCATCACAGAACTGTATACTATCATAATTGGTAGCTTCTTGGCTTAGCACGCCCTTTACTCTACCATAACCATCAAGTGAGGAAAACATGGTAAAAATAGCTCCAGATGTACCAAAAATAAAAGTGCCACCCTAGGCAACATGGTGGCTCCGTGGTTAGTACTGCTGGCTCACAGTACCAATGACCCAGGTTCAATTGCAGCCAGGTGGCTGTCAGTGTTCGCACATACTCCGAGTCTGCGTGGGTTTCTTCTCGGTGCTTTGGTTTCCTCCCACAATCCCAAGATGTGCAAGTTAGGTGGATTGGCCATGCTTAATTGTCCTGTAATGTCCAGGGATAAGCAAACTAGGTAGGTCAGCCATGGTGAAGGTGGGGTTCCAGGAACATGGTCGGGGTTAGGTCTGTGTGGGAGGATCAGGGCAGACTCAGCAGGCTGAATGGCCCCTTTCCGCACTGTAGGAAATCTATAATTCTACGGTGAAGCTAAACCACAGGTCAAAAACAAGCAGCATATGTTGAACACGAGTTAAACAATCCTACAATCAATAGATTTTTTCAAAGCTTTGCAGTCCTGCTGCATCCATTCATGAAGGCAGTAAACAACCAAATAAACCTCTAAACATTAGTTTCTATATTACCCTGCTTATTGATCACTTTGTTCCTGCACCACAAACTCTGACCATTAATTTTGATGTCTTCCACTTGAATGTAGATCCCCTCCTCTTTCACTTCCTCAAATCCTACACAAAATTTGACTTTTCCCAGTCCTTATGAAAGGACTCAAACCAAAACACAAACTCTACATCTTGTTACACATACGTCACCCCAGTCATGCCAGCATTTTCAGCCCTTGTTTCAGATTTCCAGAATCCATAGTATTTTCCTTTTGCACCTAAGAGGCGGCACCTAAAGTTTATAACCCATCTCTACCTCCTTCAGATGTCCACAGAGCATCAAAAGTCATTCTGCAGTACACCACATGATACCAAGAAACAGTTGAGCGCAGTGAGTCCCACCAATATTCTGGCTATAGTTCAGAAGGCTTATGCTTCCCGACCAACAGAGATTCTGGCCAAACTCTGGATCCAGCCTAGTTTGGACATTATTCTATAAGCTGCCTGTGACAAGTGTCCCTAAAGCTGGTGAACGAAAACGTGCAGTCACAATTTGCTTTAAAACACTCTACACTCTAAATTCCAAAACTAATTAAAGATTACAGCATCCTTTCAATCATAATATTCTAAAAAGTGTACCTTTAGGTCATTTTCAATGTATTTCTTTTTCTTTCCAACTTGCGGTAGGATTTTGTTGTTCTAAATTTGAATATGGCTGATTGAAAGTGTTGCTGAGGTTTCTTTACTTCTAATTTAATTTGCTGCCCAGATCACTCCACGCTGCAGTATTCTGTAGTCTCTCTCCATTTAAATCATATTCAGTTTTCTACTCTTCTGTCAAAGTAACAAACTCTTTCCTGCATTATATACAACATAAAATTTTTGTCCAATCATTTAACCTATATCGCCTTATTTGTTACTTGTATCCTCCTCCCAACTTGCTTTTCCATCTTTGCACTGTCACAAATCTGCCTATCATGCAATCAGTCCCTTTATTCAAGTCATCAGTATGGAGTGAATACAGTTGGTCAATACATTCATAGTAAACTCGGGGTTCTAGTCACATAGAGACATTTCCATTGGCCCATTAAAACATTTAAGACCCAATTACATATTACACTTATTCAATAGAATTCAATGTTTAAGCCTGATTATTCATGAAGGACTTCAATGTTTTTCAAGTTCAATTTTCAGAACAGAGGCCTTAAATGACCTTTCAGAAAAACAAATGCTTGTGATGTCGTCAACAGAGATTAATTTACAGCATGATTTCTCAGGTACACACTCCAGAAGCAGTACATTTATGAAATAAAACTCAAAGTTCATCATCTTAAAACTAAATTAACTCTACTAAAATTGGAGTCAAGATGACTGATTAAAACTTGACAAACAAAAGCTACTTTGAAGCAGTATGAATTTAAATCAGGAGAGAATGATACAATCACGTAGCATAATTATCAATTAATGGAAGAAAGCTACACTAAGGATTGAAAAGGACATATATGACATTGTTACAAAATATTCTCAGGAAGTCAGAACCTTGCACAGCAACATTTTATACTAATTAGATTCTAAGCCACAGGTAATGTCTTAAATTTGATTATTCCATGATTCTGCAAAATATTAATGATATGACATTACCTGTGCGTGTGGTTGCTGAGTCCCAATTTAAGTCAAATTCTGAAGATTCACTTTCTTCAACTGTAAAAGAAAGAAAGCCAGTCACATTATTATTCATTCCCCGAATGTTGTTGTAAGAGTTAACCGATGAGGCATGAAATTCAATACCCTCTCGGATTTGTAAATGTCACTTGAAATTACGTACTGTTACAGGTATGTGCTGTATCAATAAACCAAGTCTACTAAGGAAGCACAAATCCAAGAAAAGAAACTTCTGTCAACAAGCTAAACGAAAAAATACATGCATTTTTGTGTTACTATTTTTTCATGTAGAAAGATTAGTTATAAATGTTGGACAGCCAAAAAAGTGACAGAATAAGCATAAAAAGACATCGCTAGGTTTTGCCCTCCAAGAGAACATTATTTTTCTTCGAGGAATGATTCCAGATATACTGTTCCCCATCAAAATTATTGTTGAGTGTCACTTTTAGCACTTGGGTGAAAACCAAATATCAGTGAGCAGATGGCCAATCTCTGGGACAAACTCCCCTGGAGAGGCATTGGGCAGAATCCTCCTGGTCCTGCAGGGGCAGCTTGAAGGCAGATTGAAAGAGATTTCATGGAAATTGGCTTCAAGTCAGCAGGCCATCACATTCTAGCCTCCAGGCAGTCTTCCCCGAGTTGGGTCAGCAGCTGTTGAGGCTAACTGTCCAGCAGCAGATGGGCACCCAGTGAGATGCAAACTCAGCAGGTGCTTGGAGGCAGTTTGCTGGTGACTGGCCTGCATTTATTGCCTCTCCCCCATTAAGCTAGAGAAGGTGGTGACGAGTCTCCACTATAAACTGCCACAGTCCATGTGTTGAAGGCACACCCACTGCAGCACGAGCTCCAAGATTCTGAGCCTATGATGATGAGATAATATAACTAGCAGGATAAGTGAAGTGGAACCACTGGATGTAGCATATTTAGCTGTTCAAATGGAATTCAGTAAACAGCAACAGAAAAAGGTTGCTTTTTGATTCTTTCATGTGGTGTGGCACATTGAAATACCAATCACCCCAAGATTCCACTCCAAGGTCTGACTTAGAACAATGTCACCATACTTCCACAGTCACGGCATCCACCATCTCTGCAGCTCTTATTTGACATAACCCACTAGGTTCAGTAGATTAGAGATAACAAGGTTTAGAGCTGGATGAACACAGCAGGCCAAGCAGCAGAGCAGCAGGAAGGCTGACGTTTCGGGCTGAGACCCTTCTTCAGAAATAGTGGATTAAAAACTAAGGTGCGGCACTGGAGCAATGGAGTGTCAACCAATCAAATATTTTGTTCAACAGGATAAGCTGAAGTTGCATCTGCCCTCTTTAAAGGGCACAAAGGATCTGAGAACACTATTTTAAACGGGTGCGGGTGTGGGCTAATCTCCACTATTCTGAAATTAGCAGATTTGCTAGCTTTCAGCCCATTAATTTCTCTCTCATATTTTCTTTACTTACAATTAATTATCTAATTTATTAATTCCTCACTTTCATTACATTTTTTACTTGTCCACTACTTCTAATTATACCTTTGTATCTTCTACAGATGACAGATAATGGGTAATACTTTGGCTCATTCAAAATCTCCCCTTTTGCAGAGTTAAATTCCAACTCATGCATTTGTTTAACGGCTGTCATTTATTTATTCCCCACTATATGTTCACTTGCATCAGCCACTGGACCCATGTTTACTTTTGCTACTCTTGCGTTTTCACAATCCATTTTCACATTTCCTGTGGATTAACTCATGCTATTTTGCCTTCTACCTTGCTCATTATTTGCTGCTTTCTCAACACCATTTCCAATCCTCAAGCTTACAATACCTGGCAGTACTGTACACTTTTTCTTTTGCTCTTCTAAATCTCTTTAGTTAGCCATGGAACGATCTTTTTCCTCATACAGGCTTTACTTCTTAACATGTATTTACTGAGAATTAGAAAATATTTATTTAAACATTTACCATTACCTATTGTCATATCTTATAATTTCTCAATCTACCTTAGCCAATTCATTCCTTATATCCATGTAATTGGTTTTAAATGTAACAGTCTAGTATCAGACATACATGTCACTTTCAAACTCACTCTTCCCCAAGAATTCGCTACCAACAAATTCACCCATCTTGACTTCCACCTTGTCTGTCAAAACAGCAAGCACAATGAAATGTTTACTACTCAACCGTAGTAACCATGCATTCACTTCCATGCATCTACATGAGTCAGCGATGGTTCAGCTGGTGGTAGTCTCACCTGCAAGTCAGAAGACAGTTCAGTTCATGCCAGGACCTGAGCACAAAAACTAAGGTGTGGCACTGGAGCAATGGAGTGTCAACCAATCAAATATTTTGTTCAACAGGATAAGCTGAAGTTGCATCTGCCCTCTTTAAAGGGCACAAAGGATCTGAGAACACTGTTTTAAATGGGTGTGGGTGTTTGTGTGGGGTAATCTCCACTATTCTGACCAATACTTAATTTGTCAATCCATTTTTGTCACTGCTTATCTGGTCATTACCAAATTTATATTTGTGGGAGCTTGTTGGGCCCAAACTGGCTCCAATGTTTCCTGCATTACAAAATTGACAAAACTTCAAAACAGCGATACAATGGTACTGAAGCACTTTCAGACAGACATCGATGACCAGGGAATATGCTACATTAACGCAATTCTCCCTTTCTCTGTAATGGACAAACATTAATTCACACTTGTACCATTAATTTGCCTTTTGTTTAAAAACAATTTTCACCTGATATAACATAATCAACTGACGCAGCAACATCATCAGTGGCTGAGCCTATATTTAATGAACCATTTTCTTGAATACAGCTGAGTGGATTACTCAGCCAATTCAGGATGGCAATTGAGCATCAGCCACATCGTTGTGGCTCTGAAGTCACAAAGCCTAAATCAGTTAAAACACAGGAGACTGTCTTTCCTAAGGTGCATTACTAATCGGTTTTACAACAATTTGGCAGTTGCATGGTCACCATTTGCTGATTTTTTTTTTGAAAGCTGAATATGTATTAGTTGATTTTTTAACATAAAGATCCCCTGCTGCCATAATAGGATCTGAGCTCACATTCCAGAGTATTAGTTCAGGTCTCCAGATGAAAGTCCGGCAACATAGTCATAGGAGACGATGGGGTCAATCAGAATTTCAGGAGACTACGTAGCACTTGGTCTTTCTTCCATATAAATATGTAGATGACAAACGTAACTTTGAAGATTTTTAATTACAATTTTTTAAGCTACTTGTAGGGAAAAGTACTCTTTTGATGCCTTTGCTGTACATTCTGATGAGGTCACGCTTTATGACTAGAATGATTACAGCATAGAAGACTCTAATTTGCCCTATTAGGTCCATGCCAGCTTTCAGTAAGTATAATTTACCTAATTACACTCCTGCATTTTTGTTGCAATCCTGCAAATTTTCACTTCAGCAAATTATCCAATTCTCTTTTGAGGTCCTTGCATTGAATCTGCTTCCACCACACTCCTAGGCAGTACATTCCAGATCCGAACTTCTCAGAGGAACAATGTTAGACTCTTGTCACTGTTGCTTTTGTCCCTGCAAATAACCTTAAATTGCTGTCTTCAGGATTTTAATTCTTCCGCAAACAGAAACATCTCAAAAGTAATGTCCAAACACTCAAGTTTGGGCACAAATACTAGCAGCTATATCATCCTCAAGTTTTCGTGTGGGCAACTGCTGTTGCCCCTTCATCACACATCCACCGCTTATCACCACACCCCACTGCTGAAGCTGAAGTTTTAAAGAAATCATGCAGCAATTTCAGATACGAACTTACATCTGATACGTTTATGGTTTTCAATATTATGCCATGCATACATTTCCCATATCTGACTTTCCACAAATATTTTTAATCATTAAAAAAGTGACAAAGTTATTGTCCGCTACTTTGGCATCTGAATTAAGAGACACACAAATTAATGTCTGTCTTGTAATTTCACTGATCTTACAAGGTTAGAAAAGGACTTCCATTAACCTCTAATTCAGCTATCACGGAGAGTGCTTCTCTCACTGGACCATAAATGAGTTGAAGAGGTGAAACAACCTAAACTCAGAAGCAGAAGGTTAATTAACGGAAGGAAATTGAATCTTGTATACTATTTGAAGTTGATGCTGAATACATACAATATATATCAGAAAAGTCAATTTTCTCACAACTGAGAAGAACATCATCCAGTTATAGGAAGGATATTATTCAGCCGGAGAGGGTTCAGAAGACATTCACCAGGAGTTGCCGGACATGGCAACTGTGAGTTAAAGAAAGGCTGGATCCTCTTTCCACTGGAGTGTAGGAGATTGAGAGACAACTTGATAGAAGCTTATAAATGAGGGGTGTTGATAGAGTTAATGGTAGTTGTCTTTTCCCTAGAATGGGGGCAGGGGGATTTCAAAACTAGGGGCACATATTTTCTTTTTTTTAACAGGAGAGAGATTTTTAAAAAAGACATGAGTGGCAAATTTTTTTTTAGACAGAGGGTGGCTAGCATGTGGAATGAATTGCCAGAGGAAGTGCTGGATGTGGGTACTATTGCAACATTTAAAAAAATTTGAATAAGTACATGAATAGGCAAGGTTTAGAGTGATATGGGCCAAGAGCAGGCAGGTGGGACTAGTTTAGTTTGGGATTATGTTCAGCATGGATTGGGTGTACGAAGATACTGTTTTCATGCTGCATGACTCTATGACATTGAATGAAAGGTTCATCCAATTTTGGAAGAACAAGGTTACAGGTATGAATATCACTCTACACATACAAAAAGCTTAATTTTATGATGGCTGAGTGAACAATGGACACTTTGTCTTTGACAAATGGCCCCAAACAGTTATGCTGCAAGAACCTAAGTTCCTTGCTCCAAATAGCTCCTTTTGAAAGGTTGTCAGCAGAAACTTTTCCAAGCCACTGAACATAGATGATTGTTTATCCTTCCGAATACTCTTTAATTTTACTGGTAGGCCTCAATGTAGTACTAACGCAACTAATGCATTATTTTAGATGCCATAATTTAAAACCAAAT